GACAGTTGCTAATAAAGGTCTGCAACAGGCTGTTGGAAATATTTTTTGTGACCCGCCCACCTAGTTTCTGATACGTATAGAAGAACTAACTAACTTGACGTTTGTATTGAAAATCCGACTGGATTTTGTTGTTGATGCTGAGTGACGAAGATTTCCAGATTGATTTCAGGTTGATGAATGTGTTTAAAGGAACATTGAAGCAATATATTTGTTTATATGACTGAAAATGAAACGAAGACAATGAAAGAGATAAATTCAAAAAAACCAAGTGGGAAACAATAGTTGACATTTATTGTTATTCTGTGTAAATGATGTTAGTATAACAGATAGGGTTTATTTTGAATTTATATCAAAGAAGAGGCGTTTAGTGAAGACTTACTCTTCAGTGGTATCATTTTTCAAATTGTGCAGCCTCACGTACATGTATTACATTATCGTAGCAACAGAAGGAATGTCTCCATTAAAATGCTTAGTGGGAAAGTAGAAAATATAAGTTTAGAAAACAAAATTCACAAGTCAAATGTTGTGGACCATTGTAAAATCAGTGATTTTTTTTGTCTAAACATTGGCGCATAACGTTTTCTTAAAATGTAATATTTCTCTATTTCCACTTATTATACGTCTACTCACCATGACACTGACTTTGATTTGACCTTTTTTCAATTTTAGTTTACCTTTACTCAGTCGAGTTACATCATTCAGTTTTCTTAATTTGCTTTGGTCTACCTGATTAGTGTTTTCTCTATTACATAATTTAAATTTTTTTGGTTGCTATCTGAAAAACAAGATTTTAATGACACATGTTCGGAAATATTTATTCAGTTGTTACGATTATGTATTATATGTGTATGTGATTTTACAGCTTCGTAGTGATAATCATGAAAAGGGTAACTCTTCGCTGAATATCTCATTCCTTTTATTTGTTTTGTGTTCTCTCTGACACATATATTTTTGTTAAATTTATTTTCTCTTAAGGGTTTTCTCTCTGTTATTTCCTTGGGTTCCGAGTAGGACATACGGTTTTCTCAACACATCTCCATTTTCAAGTACTGGTTTTGTAGGGATTTTGTTTGATTCTATGGAGGATTTCACCATGAGCTGACATCAGTTAGAGAATCACTGGAAAATCTGGGAATACTGGACAGCTGTTTCGTCCTAGTTTAGGACTCTTCAGCAGTAAGCACCCACCTGGATTCGAAACCAGGACCTTCTGGTTACAAGGCGAGCTCGTAGACCATTGAGCCACTGGGACCCGATCCAATGGTTCTTGAATTCTAACTTCTGCCACTTTACGACATAGCACGACCACTTCGCAATGTCTTCTTCGATGAGTTACTGCCTCATCTTCGACCTGCTGTACCCTACTGGTCGCGGCTTCCCAATAGAACCCCAGGTTAACTGCCTGAACAGGGCCAGTTGCTAGTGAGCATCAGATTAATTTTCAAGTATTGGTTTTGTAGGGATTTTGTTTGACTGTATACATCTCCATTTCACTCTGTTCTTTACAGTCCCCTTCAGTTGATTCCACGGATAGCCATAAGCTTTCATTTCTTCGTCATATAATTTCCCTTGTGTTACTTTCGGATACCTAACCGGTCGTTTCTCATTCGAGTTTCACTCGAGGGCGCCTCGTAAGGGATTTCACTACCTATGTTTTCAAAGTTTCATTTGACTGTGAAAAAGATTGTTTATTTGTAGTTTGTAGAAGTGAATAACCTCTTTTTTAAATTGGGGAAAATTAGATCATCAGCTTTTTAAATTTATATTTCACTGCATTGGGTTTATTCTTTATTCCAATGATGTCAATTTCGCTAACTATTGGTATAAATGAACTGTACTGGCTGTTAAGTTATTAGATGTCAATTTTATTAACTTTTTCCATTATATCTTATGCAATCTCTTGAACACCTTTACTTGACCAATTTACCGTTCTAACCATTCAAATATAAATTAATAATGTAATATAATTGTATTGATAGAGAGATGTGCCCTTCTGTAAAAGAGTAGGTGAACTGATGAGTGAACATTTATTTATTATTTATTTTATTTATTTATTTTTGATTACAGCTTGATTCCACACTGTATTTTGGTAGAAGTATGGAATTTTCAGCATGGATATCGGTAGCCCAAATTTTGCAGGCCGACCATAGATATCAGGTGTGCGTCGGTAGCGGATCGAACCTCGGACCATGTGCATGGTCGGCGAGAGTCCTAACCACTGTGCCACCGACACATTGAGGGCGGGGGGAGATAAAACAGATCATCATATAATATGGGAAAGAAAAATTAGTGTATCTGCGTAACTCATTGTTTCCAAATAAATGACGAACAGTTGACCTGAGCACACAAAAATATTGTAGCTTGATATCATGCCATCGTTAGAGAAGATAACGTAACATTTTGGTAATCCTACTTAGTTTACGAAGGCCCCGAAAAGGGGGAATTTCGGGTGTAAGAAATAACCTTCTGTCTGATAAAGCTTCACCATACAGAAAAAAAGCTTATCCTCCTATGGAATCCGGAAAACTCCTCAGTTCCACAATTATTAAGTCAGGTAGGTTTTTGTAAATTCTGTTCAAAACAGCCCAGTCATTATGAGATTAACATGTACAGTGACAATCGCTAACAAAGGTCATGTGTTATTCCCAGTTATTAAGAAAAGTGTATCAAAGTGTATGAGAAATAGCAGTCTGTGAAATACAATGAATAATTCTATGTAATCGAGAAGGCATACGTATAGTTAGATTACTGATGATTGATAATTCGCCTCAGTGGTAGATAAGTTCACTTGATACATGATACACAGTGCTATATTACTATTATTATCATCGATAATTAGACTGTCACTGTATTTTATATTAAGTAATATGGAATCAAGGATGTTAATTGCCTAATAATTATTTGCGTGGTCTGACGAGCCATATACCCCTCCTATAATTCTTGACATCAATTCACGCAATTTCTATCCCTCCGAAAGCAATTTATATAAAGAAGGGAAATTATAATATTTTGAGCTAGTTTTCTTTCGTAAATATCGTGAGTAGGAGAAAAGCTTATTCTCTGGATTTTGTCTGCGTTGTTTCATCCAATTCATCGGGTGTTGGGTACTAACGCATTTTGATATATATATATATATATATATATATATATATATAATAGTAGCTCTGATTTGTGAGCACGTCTGCGTTTTTCCTGAATAATTTCCGTCTGTCTCACGTGATCAAAGCCATTTTTTATATTTTGTCTGTTTAATCAATCACATGACTAGATTATTTTTGGCAAGTATTTCCTTTCTTCTTCTACCAATTGAGTTTGCCTGAATTATAATATAAACTATTGCATAGAATTGGTAGTATGGAGCAAGCAGTTATGTATCTTCGTACAACTGAGCTAGTACTGTGGCAATCATTTCTCTATGATATACTTGGTTGGTTTTCACAAATACATCAAGAATGATTTGGTTTTGCAGAATGTTATTATTATTAATTGTTCTTTGTGTTCTAGATGAAACATTGAACTTCAGCAGCACACTTCCATAGTTATTCTTTTCTCTGGCGTCTTTTTTTAACTGACTCTGCAACTACCCATAATCTTTTGCTTTCTGTTCACATGATCTCTTTTCTGTCACTCTCGAACGTATAACTTCTAGCTCACCATTCGTGTTCCACTTTAGAATCCGACGTGTGATGTCACGTGACGGTCCAATCCATCTCCACCTCTTTTCGATTATATTTTGCACAATAGGTTGTCGGCTGGTTCACTTTCAAGGTCCCTTGTTGCTTTTCCTTCCCGATCAGTCATCTGATCGTCAGTATCCGGCTGAATACAATACGACCATCATAGTTCTGAAAGTGGTTTACAGCAAAAAGATAGTGTGGCAATGGTGGGCAATGGATTATCCTCTTCCCTTGTTCGCGAATGTGTCATTTGGAATATGTAAGATCTTTGTCATGGCTGATAAAATTACTAGCACGATCTATCATTACTAGGCACAATACATTTCTAGTGTAGTCGGTGAATTTTATTTGAAAATAATAAATAAGAGCTTGTGTTTGGTCACAAGAACCACCGGAAGTATCTGGATATTTATTGGGTCTATGTTAAGAGACTTTGATGAGTTTAATCTTTTTCATTCTAAGCCTTCGATTTCTTCTGTCATTGCAATGAGTAAGTTATAAGTTCGAGAAAGCTCTTCGGTGGTCTGATTATAGTCATCAGTCTAACAAGCAGTTCCTTTTAGAAATCTTAATAGTTCTCGTGAAGGTATTAACTAATTTTCAATTTTTTAGTCTCCAACTTAGGTTTCCTGCTTGGGTGAATCTTAGGGTAACAATTATTTCGATTTTAAGGTGACGTTTATACCACAATGCTTGGTGTCATCGCGTATTTCACTTCCATAGAATTTCATTCCCCCCCCCCCATCCCTTTCTGTTCCTATCAGAATACAGGTCTTCAAGCGTGAACTTTAAAGTTTCAGTAGCAGAGACGCTCTTCTTACGTCTGCTAGCCTCACCCCCAACCTTCCCTTTTTACGGGCTTTTCGCTCCCAGCTACTCGCGATTTAAGCGTGATTTGGTCGGGGATCGAACCTACATCCCATGCGTGGTTGGCAAGCGTTCTATCATTTAACCACCGGCCCACATAGAATTTCATACTCATGATAAATGCATTTTGTATATATGACTCTCCCTCAAGTCTTATAAAAGGTTTGTTTTTTCTGCGTGTGGAAAGCCATGGGTTTTTTGAAACAGCGGTTTGAGTTTTGGTTAAAACACTAAAACTCACCTGAGCAGGAGTGGCATACAAGTAAATCAATTTGATTAGTGTATTGCTAATTATTTAAGTGGACAGATAACTTTATGTTTATTACTTCTCATCCTTTTCCTGTATCCTCCGAGGTAGTTATTGTAAAATTACATGTCTCTTTTTTTAGAGTACAAGTTTACATACGATAGACTTTCTGGCTTTACATTCTGTTTTCAACTCCCTTTGTTTTTTAGACAATTAATATGGATCATAATCAGATTACAAACATTCCAAAATCTATGTTCAGTTTGGCTACAAATTTGACAAAACTGAATTTACGTGATAATACATTGGCTAGTTTAATTGGACCAGGTTCGTTTTTATGTTATGTCTGTTGCATTCGTAGTAAATTCAAATAAACAATGTTATATTTCATTTAGCTTTAAACATTGTTTTCACTGTACAAGTGACTTTGTAATCGGTTTCTAAATGTTGCTTTTACATAAATGGACTAGTATTTTGATTAGTCATTGTTTCTGTGTTCTCATGTTTCTATCTGATTAAGTTGTTCAGTCTAGTGTATATAAATATATAGAAAAGTTACAGGATATTTTCGTTCTAAATGAAACAGGGAGAGAATTAGTGCTACAAGAACCGAAGAGTCTAGGAGAAAATAGCTCAAAGTTGGTCGCCTACGGCTTAATTGAGACGGTTTTTCAGTCAGGTTTGTACGAAGACTCTTCTACCGGCTATTAACCACCGCAAAGTAAATCGGTATGTACAATTTTCTCCGTCAATCTCTTTCCCCCTCCCTTTTCCTAGAGTAGTGAGATAATATATATCTGGCTTACTAATCGTCTGGGGGAAACACCGTACTACTGTTAGAACCTCCACTCGCCAGCAATTTTAGTCATGAGAACCCGAAAAGAAGGTAAACGACTAAGTGTGCTGGTAACTGCTTTTAGTCTTACTACAATTCATATAACCTTCATATCATTGTAGAGCCTGTATGAAAATAAGCGTTTAATTTTCATTTCTTTGTTGGTCATACAAAACTACAGTTGTATGCCCTAAATGTTCATAACGTTATATGTCAGGAAGTGTTTTCATATTTATATTCCTTCATCCTTGTGACGCTGAAAGAGTACAGTGAATTGTCATTAAGATTCATTAAAAGGTATTTTATGATCACCTAATCCTTTCACTCTTCACATGAAGGAGGTCATGTAAAGAGGAGATGAAAGCATTTGGGCAGACTTGGAGCCAGGTGAAAAGTCTAGCAGAGAACCGAACACAATTTAGACGCGCGGCTGAAGCCCTATGTTCCTCTAGGAATTAAAGGAAATAATAATAATCCTTTCACTCTTATGCTCCCAAGTGGAAATCGAACTCAGAAAAAAAGAATTCGAAAATAATGTTTCGCTAAATTAAAACGAAACACATCATACCTCTGTCCATATATCGGAGGAAGTTAACTGCACCACTTTTGTGTTGAAAAATTAGTGCGGACACCATCACTTAATGGACATGAAAGTGCAATCAGCTGAAGAGTTCTAAATTGGACAATATGCACATCCTAGGTCCTCTACTGGCTAGCATTAACCGAATAACTACACTCATAAATCTTATTACGCATATCTTGAATTATTTGCGCTTTGTATTCTATAGTGTATTAGTTTTAAAAGCGGCTCATAAGTTTAGCCACCAAAACCATTGGGTCACTAGTTTGGAACCCATTACATCAATTTAGGTTCGCACAGCTATGTAGTATCATATTAACCCTCACATGCAATAGATGCGATTCATCGCCTACCTCATGAAAATGAGACTGGATGTTGAGTAACATGTTATTCACTACAAGTAACTGTTTTTGTATCAACATTGTATACCACTGATTGATTGAGATGAGTGGTTGTATACCACTTGCATCCAACCCGGTACACCGCTGATGAGCTTGGTCTCAAACGAGCGGAACGGCCATCCATTGTTGAGATCACTTCGATTTGGCTATCAAATACTAGTAGCATATGTAAGTGGTATACGGCTACTGAATTCAATCAGTCATTAGTTTCTAATTTTATGCATTTATGCTTGGCCTCATATCGTGGTCTGAATAAAGCGGTTTTCAAAGTAAGGTGTGGTAAAATTTAACCTCCTGAAACAGTGTAAATTACAAACTAAGAATTTGATTTTAATTGTATTCTCTGATTAATAAGCTGAAAATTAGTTGTTTTCTTGTTTGTATCACCAACCTTACTACAACAGTGTGACGTTAATTCGAAACATCAAATTGCAGTCATCGTATGTTATAACATAGTTGTTAAAATGTTATTATCATGTCTGAAATGTTGACTTTTTGTCCTTAAATGACTGACAGTATAAAAAATATCTACTCGTGTGGTGGTCGGGTTAAAGTATCTATCGTTATGTAAAATTACCGTAATACAGCTTTTCCAATACAAAAATACAACATATAAAACTGTCTAACACAACGCTGAACGAGGAGTGGTTTAGTAAGAATTGAAGGCTGAAAACCTGTCTATATTTGCCGCAGAAATTTCATACTTTGTATACCTATTTGTTAGTTCGCATTGCAATAGAATATTTGGATGAAATGGACTGGTTTTTCGACAGAATATAAGCACGGATATGGAGAGCTCGCCTGGCATCTCCCATCCTACATTCCTGTTGCACACGTTTTAATTGGTTGTCCGCAAACGGACTTTTGTATTGCATAGCGGTTCATTCTACTCTACTTTACGTTGGCTGTGAGCGTTGGCTCTAAGAGTAAGAACGTGTTCTTCGCCACTACTCTTCCTTTCATTCCCTATCGGTAACTGCTAATTTGGCATGGTGGTCAGGATTGCTTACAACAACAGCCAAACAAGCTACACTGGATGGAACGAACAAAGCCTACGAAATCGTCACTGGGATGGCCGTTAGAATAAAAACAACTACCTTATCAAATGGTGAGTTGTTTGCACTATGTTTGAGGTCTAAAGGCGATATCATACTACTGGTGTACAGGGGTGTAACAGCAGTGAAGTGTTCCCCACCCCCTCCATGATTAGAAAATGTCAGCCCTAGAAACTCTACATTCTAACTTAGCCTGCTGCAGTTTGTGACCAAATGTGTGGTTTTCATACAGAAAAAAAATCCAAAAACCGCCTCAACTAGGTCATGTGTGACTGACTTAAGCCGTTATTCCATAGGCCGTGTAGTCAAGTAACACTAATTCTCTTTCCGTAATTTGACAAATTGTTCTGATTACTTACTCTTTCCCTCGCACATGTGTTTGTCAATAGAATCTGATACGCTTTGCTGTGTATGGTTCCCACATTAATTCACCTGACAGCCAGAAATAAATATAACAGTTCAACTTCGTAGACATTAATTGTCATACTGTTTGATAGCTTACAGGTTATGTATATTGTGTCAGCCTATCCAATTGTTCATAGTTCAACTGTGGTGCATTGAATTTTGTTTTGAAATCAATAATGTTCATTTGTTGCACAGGTATATACAATCAATTAATTAATTTAAAAAATATCAATTATTGAATTATTTGTTTTTCATTTTGCTTTCCTTGTTTATGAATTACTGTTCAAGATTTGCACGAATTAAAAACATTAGTTGAATTGGATTTTGGCTCCAATCACTTGACAGAACTGCCTACAGAAATCGATACCCTTATTGCTTTGGAGGTGTTACGACTAAACTATAATCAGTTGACTGTGAGTTGTTTGTATGTTGTCCATATTATTCATACATTTATTTCTTACATACTTTTTGTATTAATAAATTGGAAATATGACCCATTCGCTTAGACACCGCACTTACAGTCAATTTTTATCGGGTTCGACTCTCGTCCTACTCAATTTAGTCTGAACAACCAGTTAGTGTTATAGTGTCAGAAGACAAGGGAAATCGATGACAGGATTATTTGATTGACAACTCGATACATACATATAAGGAAAATACGTCTACCATTAGAATCACAATTTGTGCATGTCTTCCAAATTGTGCTTGTTTTTCTCCCTTCCATGTTTACCATGTTGTTTGACAGACAGGTGTCGTGAATTTCTTCTCTTCGCCGCTGAATCCATCTCTTAGCTATTCAGTATTCTTGTAGACGATATACACATTTATGTTTGTATTTGTATACTACTTATAAATCTTGTGAGTAGCACAGGCCACAGTATCATCAGCCCTGAATCAGTAAGTGTCGCTCATAGTTTTGAACATGAAAAATCTGTCCCTGAGAATCGATATGAAACAACTCTGATTTTTTAAGTGTTGTCCCTGATTTCGTGTTTATATCATGAAGTGACTTTGGGTGAGAAATGATTGAAGATGAGGGAGTGTTGGACAACTGTTTGTTCCTTGTTTTGAATCGTTGAGTTGTATGCACCCATGACCCCATCGGAGCTGGGACGCATGCGCTTGAGGTTAAAAAGCGAACTTGTCTTTTGTTCAACCATTGTGATGGAATGCAGGTCTGACTGTTGATTTCCTACTGGATGAAGTTGTGTGTAGTTGTAGTGAGAAGTCATGGCCAGTCGGATGTATGAGGTTGTCCTTGCGGGCAAATATTCGCTGATGACGTTTGATGATGGTTCCGCCATTTCTTGCAAATCGCCAGAGGTTATCATTGGTGCTTACGGTCTCCGGTGGCGCTATGGTGACATATTGCTGAAGAGTTCGAAACTGCTTTCCAATACTCTGTGGTTTTTCATGGTTCTCTAACTATTGCCAGTTCGTGTAGAAACTTGGAAATAAATGTAAATATGTGCTTTCTTGATGGGCATACATTTTCTACAAAAAAAACAGTAAGCAACTTGACCAAACACCCAATGCAACTCTGTTCTCTGAAATATCCTCTATAGAAAGACCTCGGAAAAAAATACGGAAGATAAGATTGGATGGCAGCGGTGAGAACAATAAGTTTATTAGACAAAGAATACATTGCCCATTTTTGTATATTCTACCAATAAAGAATTTGATTAGTTTTCTAAGGTCGAGCGTCAGTGGTTTTCTAATCAAACCATGGCAAAATCTTCTGCCTCAGCCCAATGGCTTAAATTGTTGATTCCCCTTTTTAACAAGTTTTAGCCTGCAAAATGTAGTTATTTTTAAAAGTAAGCAAAATTAAAAAATATGCAAAATCTCTTGAAATTGCTTAGTAAGAATTTAAAAAAATGTTACGGTCCCATAATTGTTTGCATTTCTGAGTGAGAGTGTATCTGTCGAACTGCGTCTCATGGGTTTAACTATTCTACTTCCAGTCAGTTGGTCACCAGTTCGAATCCTGCTTCATCTACTGTGGTTTGGGCAAACAGCTGGTATCATTAGCCCTCATATAGTAGGTGTGGCTCATGCCAATTGAATGGAATTTCCATTGGGAGTGTTTCTGTTAAAATAACCTCTGCTTTTAGCGTTGAATTTGTGGATTCATCTCTGTAAATTAGTAACATGAAGACGCATCACCTCAGTTACTGTGCAGTAAAAGGATGCCACTATCAATACCGACAAGTTGGAAACGATGACCACTAGGCTAGTACTTTGGCTAAAGGATTGGAACCGACTGGGTTGCGCGTATTCGTATCTTGTTTAGGATGAAACATATATGCTGCTTTCATTTACATAACTTAACGAATGAAGAATTAAAGATATTTTCCTTTTCTTTCTATGCGTTTCATAATATATTTTATTTATTCCTCTTCAACTCAAATAACTTTTGCCAATGAAAATACCAACATAAGGTGTCTGTCTTTCATCTTCACTGGATATCACTTTCCGAAATAAACAATTCCATTAGGAAATTCAGCTGTGCTCGGTCGTTCTATTATTTTGTGTGATGCACGTGTTAGGAACCAGTAGCTGGATACTGTTGGTGATATGGTTAAAAACAGTCCTCAGTGATACAATAGTTGTATTCAATCCATCTGATTTCTTAGATCCTTTAAATCCTCATGCTTTTACACGGTACTATTCTGTCTTCTGTACACTTCTATTCGTTATAGTGCCTTCGAATTTCTTTAATCGTCCTTTTCTCTATTTTTATGTGCTGCATGGGATGTGGCAACTTAAACTGTTGCAATTCTGTGCAAAGATCTACATTGAGACTAAGTCATTAAGTTCGATAGCATATTTTCTTACCTGCAGCACACCAAATATGTTGGAATATATAAATAGAATAGTTGTTTCAATCTCTTTTTGATTTAAACCATAGATATCAATTCATCACCTTTTCATATCTTATTAGTTTGCTAATATCAGTCTGAAAGCTACTCTGTTCTAATCTTCCAATAAAGGTTTTGTTAAACTGTATCACAAAAATATGTAGCACGAAGTCATTTACGATGAACCTATATGTATTGTTGGCTAAGTTAAACTTTAAGCACCACTAATTACCAGTGGAGTCCGGATGCACCAATGACCTTGAAACTCTAACTGATCAAGTTAGTGAAACCTGGCGAATAATATTGTCATCATCAATAAAATATGCTTATCGAAGTACTATGCTATTGTTAGGAATTTCCGTCAAATTTCAGTTTAGGTTGGGTAAAGATTAAGTAACGGTTTACGCCAAGGACAAGTTAGGGCTAGGTTAACCTAATAAAGGCGGCAATACGGTTGGTTCGAGTTTGATTACAATTAGGTGAGGAATATGTTCACGTTAGGGTAAGGATCATGAAAGGTTAATTTTATTATTAGGTTTAGAAGACCTAAACAACTGCATGCATAGAATGTGGTTAAATTATTCTGTTAAAATAAAAATAGCACTCGTGCACGGTGGTAGAATATAGTTCCATTGTGGGTAACATTTATTCTGATAAAGTCTCACATTGTTATACAGGAATATTTACTGATGACGTTTCGAGCACAATTTATTGTTCAGGAAATATTACTGTATTTTATGAGGATTTATAAAAATAAATTTTACCCATAATGGAATTATACTCTGTTGATACTCCGACCTAAAATTGAGAGCTGTTTTTATCATACGTGAGAGAAAGGTATCCTCTGAAACACTGTTATACAGTTTTTGTGCATTTATTTAATAAATATATGTATTCTATACACAAAAGTGCCTTCTTCACATGATTGGTGCGTTCGTGGTCATTTGCTGATTGGTAGTCAGTGGTGCTTAAAGTTTAACTTTGCCGTATTCTTCACTTTTTGTCATTTTCCAAACTGTGAAAATATTTACTAGTCTTCTTTTTGTAATACACAAGTTTGTCTATTGTAGCATCCACTATTTCGACTCTTTCTTACTATATTTTGGAAGTTTAACAACTTGGTTTAGACGTCAGTCATTAATAAGTTTCAGCACATGCCACTTCCCGTCACAGTTAATCCTGGGGTTTGAATCCCGATCCCACTGATGGTGGTATTATTAGCCGCCATATAATAAGTATGGCGCATGAGAAACCGTGTTTCGGATAATAAAGTTCGAACTAAACCTGCTCATTTGAAGTAATTATGCTTCGATTCATTTGTTTGTCTGTCCAGTGCCAAAAACATCTTGTTGGGTAGATTTTTTTTACTGATCTTCTCTGGTAACCGCGTCTCTGAAATGAAAATCCTTAAATACAAAGAGATTTCATTGTTCAGAAAGTGAAACAAAGATTTAACCTTGTTTTAAGTCAATATTTGGCACATCAAAATTGCTTGAAGCATTTTCGGTTGCTATCGTGATTTCAGTCATTTCTCTAGAAATGTGAATCATGTGAGGTTTACTTTCAGTAGTCAGGATAGCGGATTTGGGAGAATTACTATTCTACTGAGAAAAATAGAAGCTAAGTTGAATAGGTTTTTAGCTTTTATAATTCACCCTCCTCCACTCCTCCCTGCATTTTTTAATCTTAGCATTGATTAAGTCTATTCTTGACAGCAGGTCTTATGATACCATGTGACTGATTTGAATGGAATTTGGCACCTAGTAGCTAAATCACATTCCTTTAGGAAAAGGTGACTCTCATTATCTATGTGCATGTGATTTAGGTTATCCTGTTGCCAAATCAAGGCATCCCAGTGATTCTTTTATTTTGATAATAAAGTGCCTTCATTCATCATAGTTTTACATAAAATTTGTTTTGTATTATATTTTAAAAGTTATCGTATTGATTGGGCTTTACATAGGCTCATGTTTTACATGGAGAGACTTTTCCAAACATATTTGGAGCAACTGAATACTTGAAGACATAAACTCCGGACAGATCCACTGATGATAAACAGGTTATATGTTTTGCGACTCAGCTTTCTGTCACGATAAGAGGATATTATAACATCCTAGCCTAACCCTGGATAACAAGAAACATTCACTATCAATGGGAGAAATCTAAAGGAAATCAGCCGTCTTACTTACCTATACAGCATCGTTTGAACAGACCTTCATTAATCTGTAATCATTGTGGAAATCTACTGCATTCATCACTGATGTCAAGTCAGTTTTCCGTGTTTCAAAGAGTTGGCTTGAGCGCCACCGAAAGGATTCCTAAGAATCAGAAGACTTTTATCAACAGCTGTCTTCACACCATACTGAAGATACCATGGTCAGAAAGGATAAGCTATAAAGAACTTTGGTAACGAACAAACCAGGGACCTATCACCGAACAAATATGTAAAAATTGAGAAGTGGACTGAATATCCACGCCGAAGAGATCATAGAGTGACATCGCACACTCCAGACTATCGAGTAGAACTCAAATGGGAAAACGACGAGTTGGAT